CCCCTGCTCTAACCACTAGATTCCACTCCCCTCCCAGAGCTGGGGATAGAACCCAGGAGTCCTGGCTCCCAGCCCCCCTGCTCTAACCACTAGATTCCACTCCCCTCCCAGAGCTGGGGATAGAACCCAGGAGTCCTGGCTCCCAGCCCCCCTGCTCTAACCACTAGACCCCACTCCCCTCCTGGAGCTGGGGATAGAACCCAGGAGTCCTGGCTCCCAGTCCCTCTGCCCACTGTAACCACTAGCACCCACTCCCCTCCCAGAGCTGGGGATAGAACCCAGGCGTCCTGCCTCCCAGCCCCCTGCTCTAACCCCCAGACCCCGTTTCACTGCACAGCGAGCTGTAGTCAGATGAATGTGGTGGGGGAAGCAGCTCCCCAGACAGGAGCCGGGGTGGGCGTTGCTACGCTGGCAGGTGATGCAGGCCCCTAATGCCACCCCCACCCCCGATGAAATAAGTGTTAGGTCTGGCAGCCCTGGGCAGTGCTGCAGAGCCTGGGATGGGGGGGCCATGGTGCGTGTGGGGTGAGCTACGTGGGCCAAGGAGCTGTCAGTGCCCCGGGAAGGGGCCGGTGGGACTCCTTGCCACGTGATCCGTGAGGCCAGGAATCTAGGCCGGCTTCAGAGAGGGACGGGGCACAGTGAGAGCCCCCAGGGCAACACGAGCAAACCCAGAATAGGGGCCGTGGGGGGGGGAATCTTCCCCTGGGGGCTGGTTAGCCCATCGCTGCCAGGAGTCTCGTGCCTGCCTCTGACGTAGCCCTGCTCTCCGCCAGTCTGCCCTTCCTTGATCCTACCCAGATGACCTAGCGCATTGGGCCCCACAGCTGGCACCCCCTCCCTGGGGTCCCCCAGCACCTCCTCCCTAGCGACTCCCCGGAGCTCCCTCCCAGGGACCCCCAGTGCCCTCTCCCCATGCACCCGTCCCTCCGTGCCGCGGCTGGCGCCATCCTCCCCTGCTGCCGGGCAGAGATTGTTGAGCAGTGGGTGCCCAAAGGAGCCTGCATAGCCCCTTGGGTGCCCAGACCCCTGCCCCCAGGGCCTGGGCCAGCCCCAAAGGTTCCCCTCTAGTCCCAGGGGGGCTCCCTGGCCGGTGATTTCACTCCCCACTTGTCCCCCCCAGCTGCCTGTCTGGAGCGTTAGTCGATGGGGCTGGCGGAGGAGCAGGGTTCCTGGTACAGCTGCCCGGCCCCCTGGCAGGACCCCCATTCCCAGGGGCACCCTGTTGGCAGAGCCGTGGGGCCAGACACCAGGCAGCTATAAATGGCAATGCGCATTCTGAGCTGGGGAGCGAGAGGGGGTGGGCGAGAGGGGGCCTGGGGGCGGGGAGGGGGGCGATGGCACCCGGCCTGACTCAGCCACCGCACGGCCCAGCCTCACGTCATCAGTAAAAATTAGCTGCCTGCCAGGTCCCTCCGGCATCAGAGCCTCCTGGGCCGTGAGCTCAGGGCTGAGTCAGCCTGGGCCAGCCTGGACCCTTAACCCCCT